AAATGATTTATACTTGTACTTTTGATACTTAAGTATATTTTTGAAATGACATGTACTTTTGATGCTTAAGTATATTCAAAACCAAATACTTTTAGACTTTTAGTATTTTACTGCGTGACTTTCACTTTTACTTGAGTCATTTTCTATTAAGGCATCTTTACTTTTACTCAAGTATGACTACGGTTGTGGCGGTCAAGAAATTTCATCAGCCGGTGATTGTCAAGCAAATAACTTCTGGTCTCACTGTAATTGACCATTAATTAACATAAACACATTTAGCATCTCCTGTCTTCCACACATAGCCTACAAGCCACTGATGCAGACCTTTGGAACATCTACATTTAAAAAAGTCTAATAAATCCATGAAATATAGCCTACACCTTCACAATAAATCCATTATATATTTTAGACAGGTCGAAAGAAACATGGTATGAAGAAAATTTAGTCTATTTCAGAAGAACAGAATAGCATACTCGGAGTTGTCCTTATGTTGTCCTTAGTCCCGTGTAGCTCAGTTGGTAGAGCATGGCGCTTGCAACGCCAGGGTTGTGGGTTCGATTTCCAAAGGGACCAGTATGAAAGAATGTATGCATTCACTAACTGTAAGTCGCTCTGGATAAGAACGTCTGCTAAATGACAAAACATTTTAGGTCCTCATCTGGCAATGGCTGTGGGCTACACTAGTTCATTTAGCAGACAAGATTTGCTTAGAATTCCATGGCATTATTGTATAGTATGAAGAATACAATTGAACAAAGCTGAATAAAATAGAAAGGATATTTTCTCCAAACTATTTGAGGGAGTGCGCACATGCGGCATTCTGTATTGAGCGGTTAACAAAGAAATAAGTACTCCTATATGCTTAATTTACAGTTATTAATTCAACTTTAGTTGTTCTACAAACGTTGGCCTATATGTTTAGATGTTTAATACATTGTAAGGCTGCATGATGCGACTCTAATGATGATTTGAAAAAAGTTGCATGAAAGGCATGAGCTCTGCTTTTTTTTGTGTGCAGGCGGTACACACTTCATCAGTCTCTCACTCACAATTTGACAAGCACTTGATAATGCCTCGAATTTCCCGGCGGCATCCCCTTTGTGTGGCCGTAATGCCCCCTAAATAAATCCATGCCTTTTGCGGCCAGTGGCCGTTGTGCCGTTAGGCTGAATATAATAATAAAAATTCCATTCTCCCTGAGTGCTGTGAGCTCCGAAGCACCTCTCACTCACATGGCTCTCCATCACATGATCGTGTCTTTCTCACAGGCTACAAGTGAAGACAGACACATCGGGGACGCAACTGCGCGCGTCATTATCCAATTCTGTGGTGCATATTGAAAATATTGGAAGAACTGTCTACATTTACTTTTCGTCAGCCAACAAGATGAGTAGGCCTAACGAACAGCAAAAGCACTAGCCTATGTCTTGAAGTGTTTGATTAGATTTTTGATTACATTTGCATTGATGTCAGAGTGATAGAGGGACAATAGAGTGCTTAGTAACAGGCAGTTAGCAAGTTTGGTAGGCTACTAATGACAATCAGCAGCATCAGAGCTTGGAGAAGCCTAATTACCGTGACTAAACGGTTACGTGGAATTTGACTGCCTTCATGACTTGTGACCTCCAGTTTGGCAGTATGACAATTGGGTTATTTTTCAACCACTGTCTAAAGGCAATGTTCCCGCGTTCGCAGAGATCCCATTCACGGTGAACGCTGCAAATGTCAGCTCTGTTGGAAATTGCCTTTAAAAGCCGCAATGTCTATAACCTGCGATCAGATTGAGTCCCGGCCTTAGTCACACAATGTGGGTGTTTCCTTTTTGTACAGCTTGTGTATCGTCTCTCATGGCTATACATTACATCTAACATCGGGAACAGAGGGTTGGAACCTAACTTGAGTTTCATCAGTACTAAATATACAAATGTCTGATTGACATCTGTGATTCATTTGAAAGTGTGAGTTACAGTATGTGCAGGAATCTCAAGTTAGGATTCATCCTATAGTGAGATGGATTTCACATTTCTTTATCACATTGCACATGACTCTTTTATATAATAATGACACTTTTATTTTATATTGGAGCCACGATAAGCAATGCAATTAACTTGAAAACAGGTTGAACATCATCATTTATACATCATCATCATTTATTTATTTACAGTAAGGAGGCAATGCAACATTTGGTGGTAAGCCTGGATTGAGGTACCGTGAGCATCATTTTACATCAGTGTTCTTCAATGCTGGTCCTGGGGATCTATGTGTTGCGCAGGATTTTGTTCCAGCGCAACGTTAACATTCCAGATTCATCTGATCAACTGAGTTTGAATCAGGTGTGTAAGTGCTGGGATGGAAGAAAAGCTGTGCGGAACCCCAGAAGTAGGATTGAAGAACACTGTTTGGCTTTGAAGGCTTGGGTATGACTGTGTGATATGGGTTGAGATATGTATTGGTTATGCAATATGTTTTCCTGATAAGCGTCTATCAAGAATCATCCAATTCTAATGGCAAAAACATGATGAAGATCATGTCCTTTGTGTATCAAATAAAGCAGACATTACCTTTCTTCCATCAGGGGAAACCCAAAGCAGGGTCCTCTGTAGCTCAGTTGGTATAGCATGGTGCTTGTAACGCCAGGATAGTGGGTTTGATTCCTGGGACCACCCATATGTAAAATGTATGCATGAATGTAAGTCGCTTTGGATAAAAGCGAAATGGCATATAAATGGCATATATTATGTTGAGTAGGCACAAAATAAATGTTTTGGAACAGAGTGAAATGGGGAGGTATTAATATATGGAAACGTTTTGCTATGGTGTGCCCTTTTGAACATGACCCAGATATGTACCAGTGCATTCTAGAGGGAATAGTGTGTAATATATAGACGCAGCCACACTGAAGTCCAGGTCTAGTCCAGCTGATGAGGAGGTGTGAATGACAATGCAGTTCATTGTTAACACCTTAACTCCCAGCAGCATGCTCCCTGTGTGTGTGTGTGTTATTCTACAGTTCAGAGGGGGCTGGGAGCTACAGTGAGGGAAAAAAGTATTTGATCCCCTGCTGATTTTGTACGTTTTCCCACTGACAAAGACATGATCAGTCTATAATTTTAATGGTAGGTTTATTTGAACAGTGAGAGACAGAATAACAAAAAAATCCAGAAAAACGCATGTCAAAAATGTTATAAATTGATTTGCATTTTAATGAGGGAAATAAGTATTTGACCCCTCTGCAAAACATGACTTAGTACTTGGTGGCAAAACCCTTGTTGGCAATCACAGAGGTCAGACGTTTCTTGTAGTTGGCCACCAGGTTTGCACACATCTCAGGAGGGATTTTGTTCCACTCCTCTTTGCAGATCTTCTCTGTCATTAAGGTTTCGAGGCTGACGTTTGGCAACTCGAACCTTCAGCTCCCTCCACAGATTTTCTATGGGATTAAGGTCTGGAGACTGGCTAGGCCACTCCAGGACCTTAATGTGCTTCTTCTTCAGCGACTCCTTTGTTGCCTTGGCCGTGTGTTTTGGGTCATTGTCATGCTGGAATACCCATCCACGACCCATTTTCAATGCCCTGGCTGAGGGAAGGAGGTTCCCTTAGCAGAAAAACACCCCCAAAGCATAATGTTTCCACCTCCATGTTTGACGGTGGAGATGGTGTTCTTGAGCATAGGCAGCATTCCCCCTCCTCCAAACACGGCGAGTTGAGTTGATGCCAAAGAGCTCGATTTTGGTCTCATCTGACCACAACACTTTCACCCAGTTCTCCTCTGAATCATTCAGATGTTCATTGGCAAACTTCAGACGGCCCTGTATATGTGCTTTCTTGAGCAGGGGGACCTTGCGGGCGCTGCAGGATTTCAGTCCTACATGGCGTAATGTGTTACCAATTGTTTTCTTGGTGACTATGGTCCCAGCTGCCTTGAGATCATTGACAAGATCCTCCTGTGTAGTTCTGGGCTGATTCCTCACTGTTCACATGATCATTGCAACTCCACGAGGTGAGATCTTGCATGGAGCCCCAGGCCAAGGGAGATTGACAGTTCTTTTGTGTTTCTTCCATTTGCGAATAATCGCACCAACTGTTGTCACCTTCTCATCAAGCTGCTTGGCAATGGTCTTGTAGCCCATTCCAGCCTTGTGTAGGTCTACAATCTTGTCCCTGACATCCTTGGAGAGCTCTTTGGTCTTGGCCATGGTGGAGAGTTTGGAATCTGATTGATTGATTGCTTCTGTAGACAGGTGTCTTTTATACAGGTAACAAGCTGAGATTAGGAGCACTCCCTTTAAGAGTGTGCTCCTAATCTCAGCTCGTTACCTGTATAAAAGACACCTGGGAGCCAGAAATCTTTCTGACTGAGAGGGGGTAAAATACTTATTTCCCTCATTAAAATGCAAATCAATTAATAACATTTTTGACATGCGTTTTTCTGGATTTCTTTGTTGTTATTCGGTCTCTCACTGTTCAAATAAACCTACCATTAAAATGATAGACTGATCATTTCTTTGTCAGTGGGCAAACGTACAAAATCAGCAGGGGATCAAATACTTTTTTCCCTCACTGTAAGTGTTGAGAAACAGAAGCCCATGAAAAGTCCATGAACGAGTGAAGAAAGGAGAAAGAGAAGGTCCATGATTTGTTATGTATGAGAGGAGTGAAGAGAAGAAGAAATGTTCATGGAGAGCTCGTTTTGAGAGTGAAGAGAGGGAGTGAGTTCTATGATCAGTTTGTTTCAGGACGAGTGAAGAGAGGGAGTGAGTTCTGTGATCAGTTTGTTTCAAGACGAGTGAAGAGATGGTAGATGCTTCTATGATCAGTTCATTTTCCAGATGAATAAAGATAGAGAAGAGACTTCCATGATCAGTTTGTTTTTGAGAGTCACTGTACACTCCCCCTTCCTTATCTCTAGGAGTGAGTGATAGACAGAGAGAGGGAGAGAGGGAGGAGAGCGAAGGAGGGAAGGTTCCAGAGTGAAGTGGAGAGGAAGTGTGTAGTAGCTACAGTGGTCCGGTTTGCAGGCGGGAGGAGAGGAGAGGCAGCAGAGAGACAGAAAGAGGCCAGAGAGAGAAGCCGGCCCATCTTCGGACCCCCGAGGAGCGCGTCCCCCCAAAGTAAGCTACCTGAGCTGCAGAGAGGCACAGAGAAGACAGAGGGAGAAAATATTAATAACAGCCATAGATTAACTCACAGAGCAAAGCTAGAGCAAACAGTAAGTCATTCAGGTACAGGGATGCAGAGAGGAGAAAAGTAGTTTGGAGAATGTTACGATTACTCGTTGGAAGGACTGTAGCCTTGAAAAACCTATTTCGCTTGAGCAGCTACATCTACTGTATATCGTAGCCCATTCTAGCCTGGTCCCAGATCTGTTAGTGCTGTTTAGCCACTTTCTATGGTCAAACATGGCATGACGATTACAAGAGATGGCAAGACAGCACAAACATATCTAGGACCAGGGTAAGCCCACTCACCCACGCAAGCCGATCCATCATCGTTGGGTTCAAAGCCCTGGTTGCACCTCTTATTGGCACGACACTTGTGGCTGCCATAGGTGTTAGTGCACACAGGACGGTCAGTGGGGCACACAGAGGGGAACTGGGTACACTCATCCTTATCTGGAGTGAGGGAGGGAGGGAGGAAAGAATGGAATGGGTAAAGGGGGAAGGGAGGAGAGTGGGAGGAGAGGGATGGAGAAGGAATGTAGCGGGAGAAGACGTTTATCGCAGGGAGAGAGAGGCAGGATAGCGCAATGGCAAACAGGAGAGGGATTGTTAAAGACGTATAGTGGGGATCAACCTACCTGTGCAGCGACCATTCTCATTCATAGCAAACCCTTGGCCACACTGTAAGAAAGGAATACATCTTCAATACTGTCTTGCTGAAAAAGAGAAGCTATAGCATCTTATAACACAAGATCTTATGATCAGGCTTTGCTCGTCCTAATATTTATATATTTCTTAATTCAATTATTTTACTTTTAGATGTGTGTGTATTGTGTGTATTGTTGTGAATTGTTAGATATTACTGCACTGTTGGAGCTAGAAACACAAGCATTTTGCTCACCCGCAATAACATCTGCTAAATATGTGTATGTGACAATAACATTTGATTTGATTTGATTTTAAGTACAGAATACAGTCACTGGCCAACAATTATTAAAAACCAGAGAGAGAGACAGAGAGAGCAGAAGGATTTGTGACCTGTTGCCACATGAAAAGGGCAACCAGTGATGAATAAACAACATTGTAAATACAACCCATATTTATGTTTATTTATTTTCCTTTTTGTGCTTTAACTATTTGCACATTGTTACAACACTGTATATAGACATAATATGACATTTGAAATGTCTCTATTCCTTTGGAACTTTTGTGAGTGTAATGTTTACTGTTCATTTTTATTGTTTATTAGAGAGAGAGAGAGAGAGAGAGAGAGAGAGAGAGAGAGAGAGAGAGAGAGAGAGAGAGAGAGAGAGAGAGAGAGAGAGAGAGAGAGAGAGAGAGAGAGAGAGAGCTGATAGTCCCATCCACCAAACTACCAGGTGTGAAACAGGGAAGAGACTCAGGGGGTATGCTAATTTGGTATAGAGCAGAACCCACTCTATTAAATTAGTCAAAACAGGAACATTTTACATCTGGCTAGAAATTAATGAGGAAATTATCTCAACGGAGAAAGATGTCCTCATGTGTGCTACCTATATCCCCCCAATAGAATCCCCATACTTTAACGATGACAGCTTCTCCATCCTAGAGGGGGAGATCAAACATTTCCAGGCCCAGGGACATGTACTAGTCTGTGGCGACCTAAATGCCAGAACTGGACAAGAACCTGACACCCTCAGCACAGAGAGGGACAAACACCTACCTGGAGGTGACAGCATTCCCTCCCCCATATGCCCCCCTAGACACAACTACGACAACATAACCAACAAAAACGGGTCACAATTCCTGCAGCTCTGTCACACGCTGGGTATGTACATAGTCAATGGTGGGCTTCGAGGGGACTCCTACGGTAGGTACACATATAGCTCATGTCTTGGCAGTAGTACTGTAGACTACTTTATCACTGACCTCAACCCAGAGTCTCTTAGAGCGTTCACAGTCAGTCCACTGACACCCCAATCAGATCACAGCAAAATCACACTCTACTTGAACAGAGCTATGCTGAATCATGACGCATCAAAGCCAAAGGAACTGAATAATATTAAGAAATAATCTAGATGGAAGGAAAGTAATGTGGAAATCTACCAAAAAACTATTAGGCAACAACAAATTCAATTCCTTCTAGTCAATTTCCTGGACAGAATGTTTCACTGTAATAGTGGGCTCCCGAGTGGCGCAGCGGTCTAAGGAACTGCAGCTCAGTGCTTGAGGCGTCACTACAGACCCCCTGGTTCGATTCCAGGCTGTATCACAACCGGCCGTGATTGGGAGTCCCATAGGGCGGCACACAATTGGCCCAGCGTCGTCTGGGTTTGGCCGGTGTAGGCCGTCAATGTAAATAAGAATTTGTTCTTAACTGACTTGCCTAGTTAAATAAAGTTCAAATAAATAGTGAAGGTGTAAACTTGGCAGTAGAAAACCTAAACAGTATATTTGACCCTTCCCTATCAAATCAAAAACATTCAAGCAGACAACCTAAGAAAATTAACAACAATTACAAATGGTTTGATGAAGAATGCAAAAACCTAAGAAAGAAATTGAGAAACCTATCCAACCAAAAACATAGAGACCCAGAAAACCTGAGCCTACGCCTTCACTATGATGAATCACTAAAACAATAAAGAAATACACTACGGAAAAAGAAGGAACAGCACGTCAGAAATCATATCAATGTAATTATTGAATCTAACTACTTCTGGGAAAATTGGAAAACTCTAAACAAACAACAACACGAAGAGTTATCTATCCAAAACGGAGATGTATGGATAAACTACTACTCCAATCTTTTTGGCCTATAACAAAGAACAAACAGCAAAAATATATACATGATCAAATAAAAATCTTAGAATCAACTATTAAAGACTACCAGAACCCACTGGATTCTACAATTACATTGAATGAACTACAGGACAAAATACAAACCCTCCAACCCAAAAAGGCATGTGGGGTTGATGGTATCTTACATGAAATGATAAAATATACAGACCACAAATTCCAATTGGCTATCCTTAAACTCTTTAACATCATCCTCAGCTCTGGCATATTCCCCAATATTTTGAACCAATTACTAATCACCCCAATCCACAAAGGTGGAGACAAATTTGACCCCAATAACTACCGTGGGATATGCGTCAACAGCAACCTTGGGAAAATCCTCTGTATTAACATTAACAGCAGACTCGTACATTTCCTCAGCGAAAACAATGTACTTAGCAAATGTCAAATTGACTTTTTACCAAATTACCGTACGACAGACCACAAATTCACGTTGCACACCCTAATTGACAAACAAACAAACCAAAACAAAGGCAAAGTATTCTCATGCTATGTTGATTTCAAAAAAGCTTTCGACTCTATTTGGCATGAGGGCCTGCTATACAAGTTGATGGAAAGTGGTGTTGAGGGGAAAACATACGACATTATAAAATCCATGTACACAAACAACAAGTGTGCGGTTAAAACACACACATTTCTTTCCACAGGGCCGGGGTGTGAGACAGGGATGCAGCTTAAGCCCCACCCTCTTCAACATATATATCAATGCATTGGCGAGGGCACTATAACAGTCTGCAGCACCCGACCTCACCATACTAGAATCTGAAGTAAAATGTGTACTGTTTGCTGATGATCTGGTGCTTCTGTCCCCAACCAAGGAGGGCCTACAGCAGCACCTAGATCTTCTGCACAGATTCTGTCAGACCTGGGCCCTGACAGTAAATCTCAGTAAAACAAGAATAATGGTGTTCCAAAAAAGGTCCAGTTGCCAGGACCACGAATACAAATTCCATCTAGACACCGTTGCCCTAGAGCACACAAAAAACGATACATACATTGGCCTAAACATCAGCGCCACAGGTAACTTCCACAAAGCTGTGAACGATATGAGAGACAAAAACTGCCTTCTATGCCATCAAAAGGAACATAAAATTCGACATACCAATTAGGATCTGGCTAAAAATACTTGAATCAGTTATAGAACCAATTGTCCTTTATGGTTGTGAGGTCTGGGGTCCGCTCACCAACCAAAATTCACAAAATGAGACAAACACCAAATTGAGACTCTGCATGCAGAATTCTGCAAAAATATCCTCAGTGTACAACGTAAAACACAGAATAATGCATGCAGAGCATAATTAGGCTGATACACGCTAATGATCAAAATCCAGAAAAGAGCAGTTAAAATCTACAATCACCTAAAAGGAAGCGATTCCCAAACCTCCCATAACAAAGCCATCACCTACAGAGAAATTAACCTGGAGAAGAGCCCCCCTAAGCAAGCTGGTCCTGGGGCTCTGTTCACAAACACAAACAGACCCCACAGAGCCCCAGGACAGCAACACAATTAGACCCAACCAAATCATGAGAAAACAAAAAGATAATTACTTGACACATTGGAAAGAATTTACAAAAAATAAACTGAGCAAACTAGAATGCTATTTGGCCCTAAACAGAGAGTACACAGTGGCAGAATACCTGACCACTGTGACTGACCCAAAATTAAGGAAATCTTTGACGTACAGACTCAGTGAGCATAGCCTTGCTATTGAGAAAGGCCGCCGAAGGCAGACCTGGCTCTCAAGAGAAAACAGGCAATGTGCACACTGCCCACAAAATGAGGTGGAAACTGAGCTGCACTTCCTAACTTCCTGCCAAATGTATGACCATATTAGAGACACATATTTCCCTCAGATTACACAGACCCACAAATAATTCAAAAACAAATCCAATTTTGATAAACTCCCATATCTATTGGGTGAAATACCAGTGTGCCATCATAGCCGCAAGATTTGTGACCTGTTGCCACAAGAAAAGGGCAACCAGTGAAGAACAAACACCATTGTAAATACAACCCATATTTATATTTATTTATTTTCCCTTTTGTACTTTAACTATTTGCACATCGTTACAACACTGTATATAGACATAATATGACATTTGAAATTACTTTATTCTTTTGGAACTTTTGTGAGTGTAATGTTTACTGTTAATTTTTTATTGTATATTTCACTTCTGTTTATTATCGATTTTCACTTGCTTTGGCAATGTAAACATATGTTTCCCATGCCAATAAAGCCCCTGGAATTGAAACTGAAATTGAATTGAGAGAGAGAGAGAGAGAGAGAGAGAGAGAGAGAGAGAGAGAGAGAGAGAGAGAGAGAGAGAGAGAGAGAGAGAGAGAGAGAGAGAGAGAGAGAGAAGAGCGAGAGAAAGAGAGAGAGAGAGAGAGAGAGAGAGAGAGAGAGAGAGAGAGAGAGAGAGAGAGAGAGAGAGAGAGAGAGCAAGAAGGACAGGAAGAGGGAGATAAAAAGCCAGTCATTACCTCTATCTCTATTTCAGGTGTGCCCTCCTCCTCCTCTCTGGGATAGTGGATCTCCAGGACAGAGTTTATCTCACTTGGTTCCAGAGGCCTGGCTACTGACTTCCCATCTGGCCAGTACACCTCAACATTAGTGGCTATGTCTTTACCTGGAGAGACAGGTAAGAGAGACAGGTAACATCACCAAAACATCCCCATAATGTTCCATAACATTGTCAGAATGTTTCCATAATATGACCATAATGTTCCCGTAAAATCCCCATAATGTTCCTTTAATGTTTCCATATCATGTCAATACACACACTCACACACACTACACTAGTGCTAGTCTGAACTGGCAGAAGTTAACTGTCTTGGCTGGACTTTGGGGATTTGGGGCTGGAGAGGGATTTCTATCCAGACCTTCCAGCTGCTGCACTTGCCTCTCCCTCTCCCTTCCACCTCCTCTCTTTTCCCTCACCTCCTCCCCTTTCTCTCCATCTCTCCACCTCTCCCCCGGGCCTCCAATCAGAAGGGGTATTAAGGCAATGATTTCCACATGGATCTGAGTGAGTGTGTGTCTGTGCGTTTGTGCGTCTGTGTGTCCGTGTGCGTGTGCACCCTGTGTGTGTTTGTTTCCTGCGTGCATGTGTGTGTGCATGAGCGTACATCTGTATGTACATGCATGTGTATTTGTGTCAGACCTACCGAGCCCAAAGTGTGCTACAGGCTCCATCTCACAGAGGTAGCCGGAGCCCCCGTCGATGATGCGTGTGTGTGGACCACTTCTCTTGGTGTAGACCACTACCTTAGCCCCCCTGGCGTACGCCCCATACTGGGTACGGGGGATAACACGCAGCCACGAGTTAGTGGAGCCCTGAGAGAAAGAGGGGGGGGGGGGGGGGGGGGGGGGGGGGGGGGGGGTTCAGATTAAAGGAGACACTAATACAACATCTTGAATTAGACAATATGGCGAGAGAACACACGACGAGAACACGCGGTCAGAACACACACACAGCGGTACCTGGTTGACTTTGTAGATAGAGAGAGGCTGTGCAGCACTCTCTCCATGTGACACCAGCAGGTCCAGACGACCGTCTCCATCAAAGTCTGTTACTGCCGCCCCTGACAGACGACAACACATACACACATACAAACACTTAGAACACACACATCGGACGAACAACACACACAGGTCACTGAGAGGACACGAACACACAACACAATTAGAGCAATAAGACAGCACACACTGAGAAAAGAGGCTGATAAGTTTAAAATCTCAAACCACAGACATCTATCGCCATCCTATGGAAGAAGTAGGAATTACACTATATGTAATAGATGTATGCTTCACATTTACAGCGTAGAATAGGTTGATGTTAAACAGTTCAGCACAGCGTAGGCCTAATAGGTATTTCTACCCCCCATACACACACACCTGTATCCTCCCCTGACCCCCGACCCCTCACCTGTTCCTCGTCCTTCTGGCTCGGCTGCCTCCCCCACATTCAGCTCCTCAATCTGGGGGTCCCCATGTTCTCTCCTAGTTACCCTGCCATAGCAACCAGATATCTGTTACACACCCCATAATAACCCAGACCCGGCTATCATGACTCAGGATGCATTCTGTTGTTCCCCAATTGGGGCTCGAACTCACAACCTTCTGCAGAGTAACACACGCCCCTCAAAGCCAACCATCTTACCCAACAAAGCAAGAGACTAGACCAGGGATCATCAACTTGATCCAGCCGCGGGCCAATTTTTTTAATGAGTGGATGGTCGGGGGGCCGGAACATAATGACAAATAATTTGTAGATTGCAAATTGACCAAACAGATAGAATATTTAAAACCTTGCTTACATTTGTATACGATCACGTGTCTATTATGCATGGGAATACTTGGGAACAGATTTCTAAAATTAAAATCACTTGGAGCTGATTTCCTGGTGTTTTTACAGTCTTTTATGTCCAACAATAAAAAAAATCATACGAATTTGTAGACTGCAAATTGACCGCAAGAAGCCCAAACAGATAATATTTGACCATATCAATCATTTCAAACTTTGCTTGCATTTGTATACGATCAAGTATCTCTCTGTTATGCGTGGGAATACTTAGGAACAGATTTCCAAAATTAAAATCACTTGGAGCTGATTTCCTGGTATTTTTACAGTCTTTTATGTCCAACAATGACATAAAAAAATATATACAGTGCAGTCAAAAGTTTGGACACACCCATTCAAGGGTTTTTCTTTATTTTGACAATTTTTTACATTGTAGAATAATAGTGAAGACATCAAAACTATGAAATAACACATATGGAATCATGTAGTAACCAAAAAAGTGTTAAACAAATCAAACTATATTTTAGATTTTAGATTCTTCAAAGTAGCCACCCTTTGCCTTGATGACAGCTTTGCACACTCTTGGGTCAAATAGCCCTTACACAGCCTGGAGGTGTGTTTTGGGTCATTGTCCTGTTGAAAAACAAATGATAGTCCCACTAAGCGCAAACCAGATGGGATGGCGTATCGCTGCAGAATGCTGTGGTAGCCATGCTGGTTAAGTGTGCCTTGAATTCTAAATAAATCACTGACAGTGTCACAAGCAAAGCACCCCCACACCATCACACCTCCTCATCCATGCTTCATGGTGGGAACCACACATGCGGAGATCATCCGTTCACCTACTCTGCGTCTCACAAAGACATGGCGGTTGGAAACAAAAATCTCAAATTTGGACTCATCAGACCAAAGGACAGATTTCCACCGGTCTAATGTCCATTGCTCGTGTTTCTTGGCTTAAGCAAGTCTCTTTTTCTTAGTAGTGGTTTCTTTGCAGAAATTCGACCATGAAGGCCTGATTCACGCAGTCTCCTCTGAACAGTTGATGTTGAGATGTGTCTGTTACTTGAACTCCGTGAAGCATTTATTTGGGCTGCAATCTGAGGTGCAATTAACTCTAATGAACTTATCCTCTGCAGCAGAGGTAACTCTGGGTCTTCCTTTCCTGTGGCGGTCCTCATGAGAGCCAGTTTCATCGTAGCGCTTGATGGTTTTTGCGACTGCACTTGAAGAAACTTTCAAAGTTCTTGACATTTTCTGGATTGACTGACCTTCATGTCTTAAAGTAATGATGAACTGTCGTTTCTCTTTGCTTATTTGAGCTGGTCTTGCCAAAGTATGGACTTGGTCTTTTACCCAATAAGGCTATCTTCTGTATACCACCCCTACCTTGTCACAACACAACTGATTGGCTCAAACGCATAAAGAAGGAAATAAATTCCACACATTAACTTTTAAGAAGGCACACCTGTTAATTGTAATGCATACCATGTGATTATCTCATGAAGCTGGTTGAGAGAATGCCAAGAGTGTGCAAAGCTGTCATCAAGGCAAAGGGTGAATATATATATATATATATATTTTGATTTGTTTAACACTTCTTTGGTTACTGCATGATTTCATATGTGTTATTTCATAGTTTTGATGTCTTCACTATTATTCAACAATGTAGAAAATAGTAAAAATAAAGAAAAACCCTGGAATGAGTAGGTGTGTCTAAACGTTTGACTGGTACTGTATAACTTATTAATTTTGCTCAAAGAACTTGGGGGGGGCAAATAAAACCACACGCGGGCCAAATTTGGTGCACGGGGCGCCAGTTGGGGAACCCTGGACTAGCCTGTCACTCTCAGTGAACGACAGTTGCCTTTTAGATCTCAGTGATGTCACTGATGTACTCCAGCCAACCTACTTTGGACGAGTTTCATATCCACTACACATTTGTAATGTTGGATGTTATGAGGCACAACAGCTATTTTGTCCTGATTATCCTGGCATGGACAAGTTCGATCATTTACACATCCGGTAGTAATCACTGTCATTTCCCTCGTAACATCTCATAGTTTGGACAGCGCCTCACCTATCAAAATGTTCCATATTGAGATTGGGTCACAGATGTGTTTTTCAATCAAACTTTATTAAACTTCAGGACATTGTCAACTTAGAACATAATGGAGAGCTTTTCAGCGCGCTCAAACCCAGCACAACTTTGATTGATTCAATCAATTCGCTTCAATGAGGACAATAGTTCAAGCTGGGTGTTTCATTACCAGACAATACTTAACCGTTAATTTGGTGGATTCTGTTTCATGACTGAAACTTCAACTCAGGTTTTAATATGGTACAAGTAGAGCCTCTGGCTTTTGGATGTTGGTTCGATCACCATATCAAAGCTCAGATATCCTGCATAACTACAAAGGGGACACACACATGAGCACACAAACATACACGAACACACAAACACACTCCACCAATAGTCACACGTCTGGGAATATTCACTAATTATGACTACTTCCTGTCTACAGAAATGCTTTAGTCCAGGATAACTGAGAGGAATTAGAGATCTGACATGAACTAATGTTAGCTCAGATTTGAGGCTCAAATTTTAATCGAAATTAAATTAGTTTAATTGCTTTTTGGAACTGCTGATTCAACTGATATAATGCATGTGTGTGAGTGTGTATGTGTGTGTGTGTGTCTCCGTGCATGTGTATGTGTGTGTGCGTGTGTGTACCTGAACAGTCTGTTGGATGACGACCCTCTGTAAGCAATGTTATTGAAGAACACCTCTAGTTCGCTGTCGTTGTCGAAGTCTGCAGCGATGACCGTACGCACCGGAGACGGCATGGAGAACTTCTGAGATGCTATGTCCTGGGGGAGGGAGACAATATGTTAACACACAGACACTGAGAGACACACACAGGAACACACACACGAACACACATATGCATGCACGGCACGCGTATGAATGCAAGCACACACACCTCCACACACACACACACACACACAACAGTAACACCAGGAGACCAATGTAACATTATGGGGATACTCACTATGTACACTCACACCAGGTAGCTAACATTACACTACGGCGACCTCATGGGGTTTAGGCAATGGTTCGTGTTGATATTACATACACACTGGGGGATATTCCTGTTCATAAAATGTTATTTCTGTAAATGTACCATCTGTCGAATGGGAAAACTCTCAACCAAATAGTGGGTCACTCCATCTTGTCTGTAAGCATTTTTCATTAGTTTTCTTAAAAGGGTAATAAATGTGCAATTGTGGTCAAATGTAATGAAATGTGACTGTTGCAGTTACTGTGAGGATGGATAGGCTAAGTGAGTTATGTGTAGTTGGTCTGCTGAGTAAGCTGTTGTAATGCTGGGCTGTAACAAAAACCTGCACATCCTCTCCAGGACCAGGCAAAGTGTCAACTGCTGTAGTATTTGGGAGGCTCAAGCCCAAACTATTGTACTGTTCTACTACATTGGGGTAGGGGGAGTCTTGATTCGTTGGTTAGCTGAGTCAGGTGATTTAGTGCTGGGCTCGAACAAAATCCTGCAAAAACAGTAGCTCTCCAGGTTTGGCTGTAGTACAGTATTTGGGAGGCTCTAAGGAGGCTACAGCTCAAACTACTCCAGGCAGGGGGAGTCTTGCATGGGAAAGTAACAGATTTCTCCTCGCTTCAGTGAGCCGGTGATAAGCTTAAGAAGAGTTATGGCGCTCACCTTCTCTTGTCTACACAATATATACAAAAGTATGTGGACACCCCTTCAAATTAATGGATTCTGCTATTTCAGCCACACCCGTTGCTGACAGGTGTATAAAATCGTGCACACAGCCATGCAATCTCCATAGATAACCATGAAGAGCTCAGTGACTTTCAACGTGGCACCGTCATAGGATGCCACCTTTCCAACAAGTCAGTTCATCAAATTTCTGCCCTGCTAGAGCTGCCCTGGTCAACTGTAAGTGCTGTTATTGTGAAGTGCAAACGTCTACGACGCAACAGCGGCTCAGCCGCAAACTGGTAGGCCACACAAGCTCACAGAATGGGACCGCCGAGTGCTGAAGCACGTAGCGCGTAAAAATCGTCTGTCCTCGGTTGCAACACTCACTACCAAGTTCCAAACTGCCTCTGGAACCAACGTCAGCACAATAACTGTTCGTCGGCAGCTTCATGAAATGGGTTTCCATGGCCGAGCAGCCGCACACAAGCCTAAGATCACCATGGTCAATGTCAAGGTCGGCTGGAGTGGTGTAAAGCTTGCTGCCATTGGACTCTGGAGCAGTGGAAAAGCATTCTCTGGAGTGATGAATCACGCATCACCATCTGTCAGTCCGACGGACTAATCTGTCTTTGGCGGATGCCAGGAGAACGGTACCTGCCCGAATGCATAGTGCCAACTGTAAAGTTTGGTGGAGGTGGAACAATGGGCCTGTTTTTCATGGTTCAGGAGAGGCCCCTTAGTTCCATTGAAGGGAAATCTTTACGCTAGAGCATACAATGACATTCTAGACGATTCTGTGCTTCCAACTTTGTGGCAACAGGTTGGGGAAGGCCCTTTCCTGTTTCAGCATGACAATGCCCCAGTGCACAAAGCAAGGTCCATACAGAAATGGTTTGTTGAGATCGATGTGGAAGAGCTTGACTGGCCTACACAAATCCCTGACCTCAACCCCATTGAATTGGAACGCCGACTGCGAGCCAGGCCTAATCGTCCAACATCAGTGCCCGACCTCACTAATGCTCTTGTGGCTGAAAGGAAATTCCCGCAGCAATGTTCCAACATTTAGTGGAAAGCCTTCCCAGAAGAGTGGAGGCTGTTATAGCAGCAAAGGGGACACCAACTCCATATTAATGCCCATGATTTTGGAATGAGATGTTCGACGAGCAGGTGTCCACATACTTTTGGTCATGTAGTGTATATGTCACTCTCTTCCTCCTCTCTCTCTCTCCCCTCTATCTCCTCCCTCTCTCCTCTCCTTACAGTATTTACTCCCTGTGTTAATTATATGGATCATAAAGCCTAAGGGGAGGGAGGAGAGGAGAGGGGGAGGAAGGAAGGGGGCAGGGAGGGGAGTGACCTTCTACTGTTTAGGTGAAGGAGAGGGGATGTCCAAGTGAAGGAGGGAGGTGAGGAGAGGAAAAGCGAGGAGAGAGAAAGAGGAGAGAGAAGGAGAGTGTCACGGATTCTGCCGAGACTGCTCCTCCTCCTGGTTCGGGCAGGCTTCGGCGTTCGCCGTCCCCGGAGTACTAGCTGCCACCGCTCTATGTTTCGTAGTGTGATTGCTTTTGTCTGTCTTTTACACCTGTGTCCATTTGTGTGTTGATTACTTGTCTTATAAGTTCCTTGTTTTGCCTTAGTCTGATTGTGTGTTGTTATTTTCTGCCTGTCGTGCAGAGCTGCGTGTCTGCACTCTGTCTATGTTTGGGATTATTGTTTACGCATGTTTGCGTAATTGCCTCGCCTCCGTCTGTTTTCGAGGTCGTGTTTTGTTTGTTGCTCTTTGGACTATTAAAGTCTTTTTGGACGTATCCTCTGTGTCCTGCGCCTGACTCCTCCACCACATCCACATCGGAACTACTGACAGAACAACACACCTAAACTATGGAGTCAGCAGGAACAGCGGCGGCACCCGAATCTCTGGAAGACCGGATCAGCTACCAAGACACCATGATCCGGCAACTTGGGGCCGCCATGGACGAGGTGTCCAACACTCTGCGCCGGTTGGTGACTCGAGAGGTGCCCACGCACTCTTACACCATCCCATCACCAACGGCCAGTCCTCCTCTCTCAGCACCGGAACCCAGTGGCATTCGGCTCTCGCTCCCGAGGGCATATGACGGTTCTGCAGCCGGGTGTCAGGGATTCCTCCTGCAGGTGGAACTCTACCTGGCCACCATACACCCGGCGCCCTTGGGATACGAGAGCGTCTCCGCCCTCATCTCCTGTCTATCCGGCAAGGCGTTGGAGTGGGCCAACGCCGAATGGAGGGGAATAGACGCCGCTACCATCACCTACGCGGAGTTCTCCCGCCGCTTCAGGGCTGTCTTCGATCATCCACCTGAGGGGAAAGCGGCGGGAGAGCGTCTGTTCCACCTCCGACAGGGGAAGAGGAGCGCACAGGAGTTCGCACTGGAGTTCCGGACGCTAGCGGCGGATGCGGGGTGGAATGAGAGGGCCCTCATCGACCACTACCGGTGTAGCCTACGAGAGGACGTTCGTCGTGAGCTGGCCTGCAGGGACACCAACCTGTCGTTCGACCAGTTGGTGGACATTTCCATCCGTCTAGACACCCTGCTGGCTACCCGCGGACGTCCCGAGTGGGGGTCGTCCATTCCACCCTCCAGCACCTCCGAGCCGATTCCCATGGAGCTCGGGGGTGCTGGCGCTAGAGAGAGGAGGAGAGAGAACCCGAGGGGGGCCATCCCCTGCACCAACTGTGGTCGTGGAGGACACACCGCGGCCAGGTGCTGGGGAGGGTCTCCTGGGAGAGGGGACAACAGGTCACGCACTGGGGAGTCATTTCAGGTGAGTAGGCGCCCCACTTACCCAGAGCTTTCTGTTGGTCACATGAGTATTCCTGTGAGATTTCCACAGGTGGCACCTCATTCCCAGCATAAGGCGCTAGTAGATTCAGGCGCAGCTGGGAACTTTATTGATCGGGCATTTTGTTGTAGGTTAGGAATTCCCCTTCGGCCGGTAGAAGCTCCATTTCCTGTCCACGCCTTAGACAGCCGGCCGTTGGGGTCGGGCCTGATCAGGGAGGTCACAGCACCACTGACGATGACGACGCAGGGGGGTCATGAGGAGATCATTCAGTTTTATCTGATTGACTCTCCTGCGTACCCCGTGGTGTTGGGGCTTCCCTGGTTAAGCACCCATGATCCTACCATTGCGTGGCAACAGAGGGCTCTTATGGAGTGGTCTGCCCAGTGTGTAGGGAGATGTCTAGGTGTTTCCGTAGGGGCGACCTCGGTAGAGAGTCCGAACCAAGTGCCCGCACTGCGCATTCCCCCTGAGTATGAGGACTTAGCACTTGTGTTCAGCAAATCGAGGGCAACACGGCTACCTCCTCATAGACAGGGGGACTGTGCGATAAATCTCCAAACAGGAGCGGCTCTTCCACGGAGTCGTGTGTATCCCCTGTCTCAAGAGGAGACAGCGGCTATGGAGACTTACATAGCCGAGTCCTTGGCACAGGGTTACATACGGTCCTCCACTTCCCCGGTTTCCTCGAGTTTCTTCTTTGTGAAGAAGAAGGACGGGGGATTGCGCCCGTGTATTGATTACCGTAGTCTCAATCAGATCACAGTTAAGTACAGTTACCCACTTCCACTGATTGCGACTATGACGGAATCGTTACGCGGAGCGCAGTTCTTCACAAAGTTGGATCTCAGGAGCGCGTACAATCTGGTGCGCATTAGGGAGGGGGATGAATGGAAAACAGCATTTAGCACCACCTCGGGTCATTACGAGTATCTCGTCATGCCATACGGGTTAATGAATGCTCCTTCAGTCTTCCAATCCTTTGTTGACGAGATTTTCCGGGACATGCATGGGCAGGGTGTAGTAGTGTACATCGACGACATCCTAGTGTACTCTTCTACACGAGCCGAGCATGTAGCCCTGGTGCGCCGAGTGTTGAGAAGACTGTTGGAGCATGACTTGTATGTCAAGGCAGAGAAATGCCTGTTCTTCCAGGAGTCCGTCTCCTTTTTGGGTTATCGGTTGTCCGCGTCTGGTGTGGAGATAGAGGTAGACCGTGTATCGGCCGTGCGTAATTGGCAAACTCCAACCACTGTAAAAGAGGTGCAGCAGTTCTTGGGTTTTGCTAATTACTACCGGAGGTTTATTCGGGGTTTTGGACAAGTTGCAGCTCCCATTACGTCCCTGCTAAAGGGGGGTCCGGTTCGTTTGCAGTGGTCGGCTGAGGCGGACAGGGCATTTGTCAAACTGAAGAACCTGTTCACCTCGGCCCCGGTGCTGGCGCATCCGGATCCCTCTTTACCATTCCAAGTAGAGGTAGACGCGTCCGAGACCGGTATTGGGGCAGTCCTGTCACAACGGTCCGGCACGCCACCTAAACTCCGCCCCTGTGCGTTCTACTCCAAGAAGCTCAGCTCGGCGGAGCGCAACTATGACGTTGGGGACAGGGAGCTGTTAGCCGTAGTCCAGGCCCTAAAGGTGTGGAGGCATTGGCTTGAGGGGGCTCAACACCCTTTCCTCATTCTGACTGATCACCGTAACCTGGAGTACATCCGGGCAGCTAGGAGATTGAACCCTCGTCAGGCTAGGTGGAACATGTTCCTAACCCGGTTTGTTTTTAAGATCACATACATCCCAGGGTCCCAGAATGGTAAGGCAGACGCCCTGTCCCGGCGGTATGACACAGAGGAGAGGTCCAACGAGCCTACTTCCATACTGCCGGAGTCTTGTTTGGTGGCTCCGGTGGTATGGGAGGTCGATGCGGAAATCGAGCGGGCACTGCGTACCGACCCTACTCCCCCCGAGTGTCCTGTGGGGCGGACGTACGTTCCGCTCGAGGTTCGTGATCGTCTTATTTATTGGGCTCATACATCACCCTCCTCTGGACATCCAGGTATTGGCCGGACCGTGCACTGTCTTAGCATGAAATACTGGTGGCCAACGTTAGCTAAGGATGTGAGGGTTTATGTCTCCTCCTGCTCGGTGTGTGCCCAGTGTAAGGCGCCTAGACATTTGCCCAGGGGTAAGTTACATCCCCTGCCCGTTCCACAACGACCATGGTCCCACCTATCGGTGGATTTTGTAACTGACCTACCCCCCTCCCAGGGGAATACCACCATTTTGGTCGTTGTGGATCGGTTTTCCAAGGCCTGTCGTCTCCTTCCAATGCCGGGTCTCCCTACTGCCCTACAAACCGCTGAGGCCCTATTTACCCATGTGTTCCGGCACTATGGGGTCCCCGAGGATATTGTGTCTGACCGAGGTCCCCAGTTCACCTCCAGAGTTTGGGGGGCGTTCATGGAACGATTGGGGGTCTCGGTAAGCCTTACCTCGGGGTACCACCCAGAGAGCAATGGGCAGGTGGAACGTGTCAACCAGGATGTGGGTAGGTTTTTGAGGTCCTATTGCCGGGACCGGCCGGAGGAGTGGTCTAGGTTCATCCCCTGGGCAGAGATGGCCCAGAACTCTCTCCGCCACTCCTCCACCAATTTAACACCTTTCCAGTGTGTTTTAGGTTATCAGCCGGTCCTGGCACCATGGCACGAGAGCCAGATCGAGGCCCCTGCGGTGGACGAGTGGATTCGGCGCTCGGAGGAGACGTGGGACGCTGCCCATGTCCATCTGCAGCGTGCCATCCGTCAACAAAAGGCGAGCGCCGATCGCCACCGCAGTGAGGGACCGGTGTACGCACCGGGAGATCGAGTCTGGCTCTCGACTCGAAACCTGCCCCTCCGCCTGCCCTGCCGGAAGCTGGGTCGGCGGTTTGTGGGGCCCTTCAAAGTCCTGAGAAGATTGAACGAGGTGTGTTACAGGTTACAACTGCCTATAGAGTACAAAAATATTAACCCCTCGTTCCATGTGTCTCTTCTCAGGCCGGTGGTAGCTGGCCCACTCCAAGAAGATGAGATAGGAGAGACCCCTCCGCCCCCTTTGGACATCGAGGGGGCCCCGGCGTACAGGGTCCGGACCATCTTGGACTCGAGGCGCCGGATGAGTGGTCTCCAGTATCTCGTGGAGTGGGAGGGGTACGGTCCGGAGGAACGGTGCTGGGTGCCCAGGAGGGACATCCTCGATCCATCCCTCCTGACTGAGTTCCACCGTGGGCATCCCACGCGCCCGGGTCCGCGTCCTCCTGGCCGTCCCCGAGGCCGGGGTCGGCGCACGGCTGGAGCCGCGCGTCAAGGGGGGGGGTACTGTCACGGATTCTGCCGAGACTGCTCCTCCTCCTGGTTCGGGCAGGCTTCGGCGTTCGCCGTCCCCGGAGTACTAGCTGCCACCGCTCTATGTTTCGTAGTGTGATTGCTTTTGTCTGTCTTTTACACCTGTGTCCATTTGTGTGTTGATTACTTGTCTTATAAGTTCCTTGTTTTGCCTTAGTCTGATTGTGTGTTGTTATTTTCTGCCTGTCGTGCAGAGCTGCGTGTCTGCACTCTGTCTATGTTTGGGATTATTGTTTACGCGTGTTTGCGTAATTGCCTCGCCTCCGTCTGTTTTCGAGGTCGTGTTTTGTTTGTTGCTCTTTGGACTATTAAAGTCTTTTTGGACGTATCCTCTGTGTCCTGCGCCTGACTCCTCCACCACATCCACATCGGAACTACTGACAGAGAGGGAGCGAGGGAAGAGAAGAAAGGGGCAGAAAGTGATCTTCTGTTGTTAAGGTGAAGGAGAGGATGGAAAGGCCAAAGAAAAAAGGGAGGGGAGAGGAGAAAAGAAGTTGACGACAGAAGAGAGGGAAGGGAAATTCAGAAAGGGTGAGATAGGGAAGGGGAGATAAATAAAGAGAGGGGCAAAGGAGAGGATGTGAGGTGCTCCATACTGGGAAGAGGTAGCCTGGCTGATGCGACCCACGTGACTCACAGCGCAGGGACAGCTGTGACACACTGGTCTGGAAAGGAGGCCTTTTGTTAATGATAATTATATTCGCTTAGAAATGTTGCAATTGGTTTGATTGGTCCTCTCAAATGTTAATTTTTTTCCCTCTGGGGTTGAGACCTCTCGTTGTTTGGATTTGAAAATCCAACCGTTGTAATGGAAGGGGGCAGCGCTCAGGGATGTGTGTGCCTGTGTACGTGGGTATTTGAGTGAAATAGGCACAGAGGAGAGCCAACCAGTAAAAAGCACAGCCCCCTTTATTACCGACGCATCGTGCCGACAACATCAAAGAGCCATTCCAGACTCTGAAGCCAGCAGGACTTGGAGAGTTAGGTGTTAGCCAGACTAGGGAAAAGGTCCAATTACTTAGTCAAATCTCAGATGTGTTCAATTCAAATCAACATGATAGTGATTTTCACTGAATCCCTGCTGAAATATTTCATATCAAGATGCCCCATTAGCTCATCATGTCTTCTGAGATTTATGCTTAGTTACGGTTGGTGGGGCTGGGAGACATACTGCTAAGATGAGTGTGCGTGCCTGTGTGTATGCATGCCTGTGTATATGCGTGCATGTGCGAGTGTGTGTGTGTGTGTGTGTGTGGGTGTGTGTGGTTGCTGCAGCCATAGATTTGAATTAAAACACAAACAGTCCTAATCGGCACTTTCCCCTCTTCCCCATGTCCATCCACTGTCCAGCCAAGCTGCTGCTTCAGCTCCTTTTAATCAGTAGCTCACTGGAGTGGCAAAACAGCTTAATTACCAATGCCAAAGGTCAACCCAGATACTGGGAGTGTGTGTGTGCATCTTTGTGTGCGTGTGTTTTGTGTGTTTGTGTGTGTTTGTGTGTGGTGAGGTTTTAGTGTGTGTGGCATTCCAGTGATCGATCTGTCAGTGTGTGCAGGTGGATCCCTTAAGCTTATCAGTCGAGACCCCAGCAAAAATCGTCTTTTCATATATCTGACTTTCATTTATCTGCATGTCCAGCCCTTATATTTAGACATTTGACAAAAACAGAGTTTTACTGACAAATGTCAATAACAAAACAAGGTCCGCCAAAGCATAAACCTGATAAAAATAAATGTATGTGAATGCTGTAAGTACATAAATTGTTTGCTCAATGGGAAATTAATATCCAACAAGTCAGTGACAACTGTGTGGAGTTTGGAGGTTGTGACAGCAACTATGTATTATAGTCATTATGTCCTGGGATTTCCTATAGTCTTCGTTCGTGGGAGTCTCAGCTTTTCATAGATACAGTCGGAAGTTTACATATACCTTAGCCAAATACATTTAAACTCAGTTTTTCACAATTCCTGACATTTAATCATAGTAAAAATTCCCTGTTTTAGGTCAGTTAGGATCACCACTTTATTTTAAGAATGTGAAATGTCAGAATAATAGTAGAGAGAATTATTTATTTCAGCTTTTATTTATTTAATCACATTCCCAGTGGGTCAGAAGTTTACATACACTCAATTAGTATTTGGTAGCACTGCCTTTAAATTGTTTAACTTGGGTCAAACGTTTCGGGGAGCCTTCCACAAGCTTCCCACAATAAGTTGGGTGAATTTTGGCCCATTCCTCCTGACAGAGCTGGTGTAACTGAGTCAGGTTTGTAGGCATCCTTGCTTGCACACGCTTTTTCAGTTCTGCCCACAAATGTTCTATAGGATTGAGGTCAGGGCTTTGTGATGGCCACTCCAATACCTTGACTTTGTTGTCCTTAAGCCATTTTGCCACAACTTTGGAAGTATGCTTGGGGTCATTGTCCATTTGGAAAACCCATTTGCGACCAAGCTTTAACTTCCTGACTGATGTCACTGATGTCTTGAGATGTTGCTTCAATATATCCACATATTTTTCCTTCCTCGTGATGCTATCTATTTTGTGAAGTGCACCAGTCCCTCCTGCAGCAAAGCACCCCCACAGCATGATGCTGCCACCCCCGTGCTTCAGGGTTGGGATGGTGTTCTTAGGCTTGCAAGACTCCCCTTTTTCCTCCAAACATAACGATGGTCACTATTTTTGTTTCATCAGACCAGAGGACATTTCTCCAAAAAGTACGATCTTTGTCCCCATGTGCAGTTGCAAACCGTAGTCTGGCTTTTTTATGGCCGTTTTAGAGCAGTGGCTTCTTCCTTGCTGAGCGGCCTTTCAAGTTATGTCGATATAGGACTTGTTTTACTGTAGATACTTTTGTACCTGTTTCCTCCAGCATATTCACAAGGTCCTTTGCTGTTGTTCTGAGATTGATTTGCACTTTTCACACCAAAGTACGTTCATCTCTAGGAGACAGAACGCGTCTACTTCCTGAGCGGTATGACGGCTGCGTGGTCCCATGGTGTTTATACTTGCATAATATTGTTTGTACAGATGAACGTGGTACCTTCAGGCGTTTGGAAATTGCTCCCAAGGATGAACCAGACTTGTGGAGGTCTACAATTTCTTTTCTGAGGTCTTGGCTGATTTCTTTTGATTTTCCCATGATGTCAAGCAAAGAGGCACTGAGTCTGAAGGTAGGCCTTGAAATACATCCACAGGTACACCTCCAATTGACTCAAATTATGTCAATTAGCCTATCAGAAGCTTCTAAAGCCATGACATCATTTTCTGGAATTTTCCAAGCTGTTTAAGGGCATACTCAACTTAGTATGTAAACTTCTGACGCACTGGAATTGTAATACAGTGATTTATAAGTGAAATAATCTGTCTGTAAACAATTGTTGGAAAAATTACTTGTGTCATGCACAAAATAGATGTCCTAACCCGGACTTGCCAAAACTATATTTTGTTAACAAGAAATTTGTGGAGTGGTTGAAAAACAAGTTTGAATGACTCCAACCTAAGTGTATGTAAACTTCCGACTTCAACTGTAGCTTTGTATAGTTTGTAGCTCAAACCATTCTGACTCTACAGACATCCTTGTAAAAAAAGACCTGGGATCCGCCCTTGTCTCACAAACCCCGCTCTAGTTCAGCCCCCGTGAACCACACAGACTAATGGTTGGTATCTACAGATGAAATAGACAAATCCAATGGTTCAACCCAGAAGGCTGTAGCTCAAACACACAATGTTTAAAAAGGGGTTCGAAGTCCTACTGAACAAAAATATGAACGCAACATATAAAGTGTTGGTCCCATGTTTCATGAGCTAAAATTAAAAATCCCTGAATTTTACATATGCACAAAAAGCTTATTTCTCTTAAATTTGGCGCACAAATTTGTTTAAATCCTTGTTAGGGAACATTTCTCCTTTGTCAAGATAGTCCATCCACCTGGCAGGTGTGGCATATCAAGAAGATGATTAAACAGCATGATCATTACACAGGTGGTGCACCTTGTGCTGGGGACAATAACAGGCCACTCTAAAATGTGCAGTTTTGAGAGAGCGTGCAATTGGCATGCTGACTGCAGGAATGTCCACCAGAGCTGTTGCCAGGGGATTGAATGTTCATTTATCTACCATAAGCCGCCTCCAACGTAGTTTTAGAGAATTTGCCAGTACGTCCAACCGGCCTCACACCGCAGACCATGTGTAACCACGCCAGGCCAGGAACTCCACATCCAGCTCATTCACCTGTGGGATTGTCTGAGACCAGCCACCCGGACAACTGATGAAACTGTGGAGTATTTCTGTCTGTAATAACGCCCTTTTGTGGGGAAAAACTCTGATTGGCTGCGCCCCTGCCCAGTCATGTGAAATCCATAGATTAGGGCCTTATTTATTTATTTCAATTGACTGATTATCTTATATGAACTGTAACTCAGTACAATTGTTGCTTGTTGCGTTTACATTTTTGTTCAGTATAAATCACGCCAGTGCGACGGTGGGACTCATTGGATTAACAGAAACATCAGCCCAGCCAATGTTTATGGGGTTTGTGGTGTAAGGCCTCACTGCGAGAGCTTAATCACTGACAACGCACACACACAAAACACACACACGCAAACACTGGAAACAAATTTAATTAGCTATTTTACTTCTAACTACAGTTAGAAGTAATTGGTAAATCATCACCCGAAAGTATTTAAGACCATAAAAATACATTGATAATAATGGATCTAAATAGATGGGCTTTGTTCGAGCCTAGCAGGAAAGTAGCCATTGATTCTCTTCAGAGGAGACAGAGCAGCAGCAGTGTGTGTGTGTGTGTGTGTCGGAGGAAGAATATGCTGTACCCTCTAGAATCATTAAGCACAGTAGCTGAAGGTTAGCTAAGATCAATGTACTGCTCAATAGAAGAAACGGTGGGATGCTAGTTGATTACTGTGCTTGAACCTCTGTTACCCTACCTTGAAGCTGTGTGTGAGCCTATTTTCTGTAACTTGAACCTGTGCTGAAGTTGTGTTTGTACCTGTCTACCAAACCTTGAACCTGTACTTGAACCACATTACCGTACGTTGAATCTGTGTTTAATCCTGTGTTCCGTACCTTGAACCTGTGCTTGCGGTTGTTGCCCAGCTGTAGGTAGAGTCGATGTGGCCCATTCCAGTTTCCGTAGACAATGTCCATCTTTCCATCTCTGTTGAAGTCAGCCAAAGTTACCCCTCTACCGTGCTGCATGGGGTCTTCCACACCTGGTACACAGAGGAGGGAACTCCCATTTTAACTTTTAAATGAAAGACACCACAGTAATATGGTGTGGCAATCAAAATAGATAGATAGACCTGTTCAATAGCTGAATAATGTTTGTTTTTTAGCTTTCTCTCCATCTCTCTCTCACCTGCCTGCTGAGCCACATCAGTGAAGGTTCCATCTCCGTTGTTTACAAACAGGAAGTTAGGTCCGTACTCGTTATCACAAAACACGTCAGACAGGTACTGGCTAACAATGGGACCTACAACTACACCACGACCACCTGGAGAGAGAGAGAGAGAGAGAGAGAGAGAGAGAGAGAGAGAGAGAGAGAGAGAGAGAGAGCCAGGACAGCAACACAATTAGACCCAACCAAATCATGTGAAAACAAAAAGATAATTACTTGACACATTGGAAAGAATTTACAAAAAAACTGAGCAAACTAGAATGCTATTTGAGAGTACACAGTGTCATAATGCCTGACCACTGTGACTGACCCAAACTTAAGGAAAGCTTTGACTATGTACAGACTCAGTGAGCATAGCCTTACTATTGAGAAAGGCCGCCGTAGGCAGACCTGGCTCTCAAGAGAAGACAGGCTATGTGCACACTGCCCACAAAATGAAGTGGAAACTGAGCTGCACTTCCTAATATCCTGTCAAATGTATGACCATATTAGAGACACATATTTCCCTCAGATTACACAGACCCACAAAGAATTCAAAAACAAACCCAATTTTGATAAACTCCCATATCTATTGGGTGAAATACCACAGTGTGACATCACAGCAGCAAGATTTGTGACCTGTTGCCACAAGAAAATGGCAACCAGTGAAGAACAAACACCATTGTAAATACGACCCATATTTATGTTTATTTATTTTCCCTTTTGTACTTTAACTATTTGCACATAATGACATTTGAAATGTCTTTATTCTTTTGGAACTTTTATGAATGTAATGTTTACTATCTATTTTACTTGCTTTGGCAATGTAAACATATGTTTCCCATGCCAATAAATGCCTTTAAAATGAAATTGAAAATAGAGAGAGAGAGAGAGAGAGAGAGAGATGAGGAGAGAGAGAGAGAGAAGAGAGAGAGAGAGAGAGAGATGAGAAAAGAGAAAAGAGAAAAGAGAAAAGAGAAAAGAGAAAAGAGAAAATAGAAAAGAGAAAAGAGAAAAGAGAGATGAGAAAATAGAGGGGGTGCATGACTCACTACCACTATATGTCCTACTATCACACCATGACCTCCTGGAAAGAGGTGGAGAGAGACGGTAAGAGAGAAGTAGAGAGGATGCAGAGGGAGGGTGAAAAAGATAGAGAGAGGGGAAGAGAGATAGAGGGGGAGAGCAAGGGTTGGAACTGGTTCAGGAAACATAACCAAAAACCAGAAAATAGCTATTTTATTTGAGGAACAGAACCTGAACCGGAAACGAAAGTGATCTATACTGATCCGGAACATAACTGTTATTTTTAAAAGCAATGGGAACCAGTTAATAAACGTTATTTTACGTTCCGGGCATTTTTTTTCCAGTCCCACAAAAATCTTAATAAAGCTCCCATGCAAAGCCCTCACTCTGTCACTCAGAAACGTATTCCAGCGTCTGCCTGCCAGCTGGAAATCTTTGCCAGTGGGTGTGCGTGTGTGTAGGCTACCTGCCCCTCCCCTCTGAAGCATAGGTTACTGTAGCCTACTGTTAAAAGCATGATTCAGAAATTAGGGAGAGATGTTTAAACGAATGGATTATCTTTTTCAATGCTAGTTAAGTGATCACATTTCACATAGGATTTATTAACTACAAAAAGGCACAACATGTTTTTAATTCTAGTGCTGCTCTGCACACACACGCTTGTTAGTTAGCTAGCTAGCTAACGTTTGCTCTGGTCCCAACGTTAAACCAACTCGGATGTTCAAAGACATGCAAAGTTCCTCCATAGAAGCCTCTCCTCCGAAGGTATAGTTCTGTGGACCTAATTCAGATAATGCATGTCATAACAAGATGCCCAGCGCTTCAAGGCAAGCTTACTCCATCCTCTCTCGCAGAATTCCTGTTGCATCTCACACCCTACACTATGACTGGCAGCACAGTGTGTGTTTGTCTTTCATCATGATAAAACCAACCTGTTAAAATAGAAAGACAAAAAAAAACATAATTGTGACGTGAAACAATGAAAAGTAGTGCACCTAAGCTGAGATCTGGTGTTTGCAGGTGTTTTGAATGTAAACCCAATGTAAGCGTTATATAATACACTGAATGCATTTCAAAAACAGAATGGAAGTACTCTGAAACACCCAAAAGTGGTTCTTCAATCTGAATATTGGTGTTTTTAAGAGAACCTTGTGAAAACCATTGTTGGTGTTTCACTGCATGTAAAAGGCAGCATCAAAACACAAAAAGCATGTTTTGACAGACTGTGTCTCTCATACAATCAAATGGTTTTGAAATGCCAATGGTTTATAGCGTAAATATTGATTGATCATGATATTCAGACAATATTTTAATTAACATTTTAAAAGAACACACTAGGATGTAACACTTTTACTAGGCTAGACAATGGCAGTAATTATCAGTGGCATGTACTCATGAATGCCAAGGGAAGCCAGGCCAAGGGAAGCCAGGCCAAGGGAAGCCAGGCCAGGGAAGCCAGGCCAAGGGAAGCAGGCTTCCAAAAAAAATGGAAAAAAAAAAATAAAAAAAGGTTTTCTTTTTTGTTTCATAATTTTATTCAATTCCAAGAGGCTAAT